GGTTTTTAAGCAAAAACACAATAATCAAGCACTAACTTTAAATCCACAAATGTATGGATTTCCGAAATTTATGGTTCTTATTGAATGCATCGTTGTTGCAAAGGAAGCTACTTTATTAAGTAGTTATGACATTACATTTTTGTTCCATTGATTCAAATATAACGTTTCATATCGAACAAGAGTTTCATCTGTGGGGTCCATTATATGTTTATAATAATGATAATTAGTGGTTTGGAATGTTAATGATAGGGTGGTGGGTGGTGTAATGATATCGAAACATGTGCAGAGAGAGCTAAAACCCGTCGTGGATCTACAAGACTAATGAACAAGTTGGAGACCTTCTCCGGCATTCTCAGTGATAACCCCGACCACAATCCTGGTAATGTTGCTTTCCTAATTTTCTTGTAACTTTTAACTTGTTTTAATCATCCAATGCTTTTGTATTAATGGATATGATTAGAATGTTTGTAAACCTCAACTCTAAACTTTAGTTTCCTTGACAACAAAACCAAAATAAATGATGGTCCCAACTAAAAACACAACCTCACTAGGATTATGGAAAACAAAAAACGACTTCATTAAGTGAGGGACCATTACCATATATATGGTACATGGATGGAAGTTTAAAGTTTTGTCTTTCTAGAGTAGATTAAATTCAATCATACCGAATTATTCATCTATATATGAAAAAACTCTTATATTATTTTATTTAAAAAAATGAAACACGCCTTATATTTATCTATCAATTTTATCTAGGGCTCACAATGGAGCAGGGTTGACCCTATCCGATCCAAACCCGTAACAATTATATGGGGTTGGACTATAGTTTTTGATCCGTTTACCCGTTAATGATCCGTACCCGCTAACCCTTTTATTAAAAATGTCGGGTATGGATCATCACTGATCCGCTCCATTTATAACCCGCCCCATATAAATTTTAGAATTATACATTTATATTTTATACTACCTAAATTTTACTTTAAATTCCAATCGAAAGTCCAAAGACTAAACTATTTATACATAGGACTCGGGGACTCAACTTCTAGACTTCCAGTCTTCTCCCAGGAATCATGATGTCATTTCATTTATATTTCATCATCTAATCATCAATTTCATTTATATATCAATAAATTCATTTATCAATTGAGGGTCAAAAACCAATTGGAAGTAACTACAATAATGATTTTAATTCCAATCGAAAGTCTTCGAGTACATAATGTGTTTTCTAAATCAACATTTGTTTTATTTAATAAATGTGATTTTATGATTTAAGTAAAATGTGCTTGATTATTCAAAAAAAAAAAAAACAAACAAACGGGTTACGGGGCGGGTTTGGATATCTGCTGATTCGATGGATAAGGGTATGAGTTTGATTATTCAAAACCCTGCGGGTTATGGAGCGGGTTTGGATCGGGTTTTGGAACTTGTTAAAAAGGTTTGGATCAAGGTCGATTCGCTCCAAACCAGCCTCATTGCCAGGTCTAATTTTATCCAAATTTTCGGTAAAAACATATTAATCATTTTTATTTAAGTGATGTAGCAATTAAATGTGATGTGGTTGATGTCATGGGTCATCTTTGTCATCCATTTGACATTTTATCATGAGGTAAAACTTGATCAACAACTATATCACACGATTCACATCACATCTTTACCGAGTTTTACCTTTTGATAAAAAAATAACATCAAACATGTATGTCGTCCCTCATTGGCCACAATTGTAAGATCATTTAAAATGAAACTGATTAATAGGGTTTTACTTGAAATTTGGATAAATTGATTGGTAAAAAAATAATGTTTTTCTAAATAAAAATAATAATATGAGTTTTTGCAAATATAGTTGCATGATAGGTTGTATTTTTTTTATGTATTTTACCCTACAATCAATTTGAAGTTTAATGCTCATTGAACTATTGAATGAGAAAATAATTACCAAAAATAATGATATACCTACTTATTTTTTAATAACAAAATTCTAACACATATTTAGTATATTAAAAAATAAGTACTTAATAAAGTAATATTTTGTCCATCCATGCCAAAAGCTAAGATATACAAAAAAAGAAAAAAGAAAGATATAATGTGCGTTTATGTACATTATATTTAGATCTAAATAGTAGATATATGTTTTTTTGGATTATGTATTATGTCCATTGACACAAAGGATGGTGGGACCTGGCCTATAAAGCTCATGCCAGTTTCATGTCTAAATTGAATACCGTATCATGATTTTGTATAATTATTTTTAAATTGCTTGAGCGATTTACCATTTTTCTTTAAAAAATAAGTATAAAAAGTAATGCCTCTCACTGTTGTTTATTCACTCTTTCCTACATAGTAATTAACTTAGAATTCAAAGAAAGAATAACTAGCAACGAAATACAAAGTATATAGTTTTGTATCATATAATAATTTATCCAATATTGGTGTAGTTTTCTAAGAATTCTTGTAATCCAAAAGTACATTAATGGGTAAATTACACCAATCATCCCTCGTACATATGTCAGAAAGCATGTTCAGTCCCTATTTTAAAAAATTATCTCGGACCGTCCCTCGTTTGCTTAAAACTTGCATGCTTCGTCCCTCTGGACATAAAAAGACCATTTTGCCCTTATTTATTTCTTTTTTATATGTTTATTAAATATAAATTATTAATCTATTAAAAAATATTTAATTAAATATAAACATCATCTCCATTGTTGATTAAATGTCAAAATTCTTCACGTTCTTTCTCAACTTCAGCTACCACCACTTATCATCACCTATGACCACCGTCAACCACCACTTATCACCACCAGAAACCACCACTTTTCACTCCTATTTCTCTCCCACCACCTATTTTGGAAGATGTGTCTTATGTCCGATCACCCCTTAAATTTAATAAACAAGAACATGAAATCAAAGCTAACTAAACCCTAAACCTGAAGATCAAACCATAAACCTGTAAATAGAAACTCACGAGTTGTAGTATAAGAAGGAGGATTCAAAATCAAACGCATTGGCGGTCAACCCAAACCTCGCTGCTATCGAAGAACTTCATATCGATAATGCTAACCCCCAAAAAACGTGAAGAATCGGACCTCCGACAACCACCCCATCATCATGCACACTTTATTTCTTATGTTACTGATCCCCAAATAGGAGGTGGAGCTCGATCAGAAACCCTAGGTGGCAGATCAAAACCCTAGGCGGTGGCAACGTCTCCATCTCTATGTAGAACCCATCGGAAATAGAGAGGGGACCGCCGAGAGTCTTGGTCCATACGGAGAGGAGATCACCAGAGTCATTATGATGAGTCTATTTCATCTAAACAAGACATCGAACAAGCAACAATTACAACAAAATCAAAAACCCCTAACCTTCTTCCGTTAAAGAAGCAGATCGAAGATTAGAATCCAAGAAGAGTTATCGTATGAAATTGATATCCTCGTTTCTGGGGCTGACGGAATTGGCTGGAGATGGTGATAAATGGAGAGAAAGGTTCACCGGAGGTGGAGATGATGGTGGTGGCCGACGATTTGTGTCTGCACTTTCCCTCTCATCGTATCTGTGTGTTTATTTCTAATTAAAAGTGTGGGGAAAGTGAAGGGGTTTTATTTTTATTTTTTTTAAATCTAATAATAATAAGGGTAAAAATAAATTAATTATAAAATAAAAACGCAAGGGTATTATCGTCATTTCAATTCTGGAACGGATTAAGTTCGCAATAAAATCACCTTTGAGGGATGAAACGTGCAAGTTGAAAACAAACGAGGGACGGTCCGAGTTAATTTTTGAAAATAGGGACTAAACACGCTTTCTGATATATGCACGAGGGACAATTGGTGTAATTTGTCCTATTCACGTGTTTAATTATTGTAGACAGCTACTGGATTTCTTTTCCTTTCCTCTTCCAGCTTTCACCTTGCCTCCACTAAGCCTTTTGTCCCACCTTTATCTGGTTTGACACTCTGAAAACTCAATACTATCCTTACCTTCTTAAACTTCCACTATTGTAGGGTTACAAATGGAAGGGTACCAACGTCATTTAGCTATATTACTGTGTTTTTTCCTGTCATATTTCATTATATAATCTAATGGACAATGGTCAACTGCAATGTTATCAGTGTTCTTTTTACTGCAATGTTATACTTCTCACTGTTGTTTTTCACAGCTTCGTAGTTTTAACACCTAATACATAATTGATAATACATGATTTTTTTTTTGGACTTAATCTGGAGTGACTCAATGGGTTAAGTCAAAAAAACTTGCTTAATGTATTAAGCCACCAAACTTTGACCTAGTTGTCCTTATTTTTTCTATTCAACTTCTCTCAAGTTACAATTGATGAAAATTAGAGTAAATTATTTTGTGAGTAGAAAAAAAAAACCTTAAGCATACACTTTTATCATTACCTATTCAATCACTTTATCCAAACATTAGTTGATGAATAAAAAAACGAGGTCCCTAACATGATTGTCACTGGTTTTTTTAAGACCGTTTTTGTTACACTGGACAACTAAAATTACTATAATTTTTGTCCAATAAACAAGAGGCTTGAATGCACTTGAAACACATTACATGTTTCATCCTTGAGTACAGCCAAATGATAGGCAAAAATAGCCAAAATGGGGCGTGACCTACCACAAGAAGGAACACAGACAAACTATCTTCTTTTTACTTTATTCTATAATAAATGTATACTTATTAAATACTAATAAATCTAGGGCCAAAATTCAAACAGCCAACTTCTGCCTCCTACAAAAATCTTCCATTTATAGTGCTACCCACACACTTGCTACAAACTGTAGATTCAGTTACCACTACTAGAAAAAGGGTGTTTTCCTACGGAAAATTTCCGTAGCTAATTAGCTACGGAATGGCTACGGATTAGCTACAGAATGAGACACCCTAATTTAGTAACGGACTAGCTATGGAATAACTATGGATGTTAACCACTTGGGTTGTGGTGACTTGGTAAGGCATGTGGAAGATATGGTGGATAACCTATTGACCCATGTTCAAATCCTAGCACCACTCAGCCCTTGTGGCCATGGAGGTTCGCCTGCAGTGACTCCAGGGCATGAAGCAAAGCTTTATGTTTGCAGCGGGGGATTAGTCGGTGCGCGAAAGCTGGCCCGGAAACCCTCGTTAGGGAAGTTCCCTTTCCAAAAAAAAAAAAAAAACTATGGATGTTATTCCATAGCTAATTAGTTACGGAATAGCTACATAATAGTTACGGATGTTAACCCGTAGCTATTCCGTAGCTAATTAGCTACAAAATAGCTACGAAATATCTATGGATACAATATTAAACCATTAAATGAGTAAAGGATCTCGAATGTAAGGATCTCGAATGTGCAAACGACTTTATGAACACTATTAATAACTATAAGTTGTTGAAAATAAAGATAATCATGTTTAATAAAGGTGGGAAAAAAAAAACGATGTTTAATGCCCGAAAAATCAAAAATAAGAAAAATTCGTAGCTATTCCGTAGCTAATTAGCTACGGATTAGCTACAAAATTTTTTTATTTTCTATTTTTCAGGCATCAAACGTCGTTTTTTTCACTTCGTTTTTTACACCTATATTATACATGATTATCTATACTTTCAGCAACTTATAGATATTAATATCATTCATAAAGTCGTATGCACCTTCGGGATTAAGTATTCGTTTCACATTTTTAACAATGCAAATCCTATACTTTCACCAACTTGTGATGAATTTATTTTTGTATATGTATATTTACATACATGAAAGTGTTGTGGTATATGTGTACGTGTATGTGTGTATGTATACGTGTTTGTGTGTATTTATATGTGAATGTAGATCATAAGCGTGTTAAACCATTAAACGAGTCATGGATCTCGTATGTGTACACGACTTTATGAATGATATTAATAGCTATAAGTTGGTGAAAATATAGATAATCATGTATAATAGAGGTGTGAAAAAAAATGAAATGGAAAAAACGACGTTTGGTACCCGAAAAATCGAAAATAAGAAATATCTGTAGCTAATCCGTAACTAATTAACTACGGAATTCTAACAGAAAGCATATTCCGTAGCTAATTACCTACGGATTAGCTACGGAATATGCTTTCGTTGGAATTCCGTAGCTAATTTGTAGCTAACTAGCTACGGATTAGCTACAAATTTTTCTTATTTTCGGTTTTTCGGACACCAAACGTTTTTTTTCTTTTTTCGCTTCGTTTTTTTTACACCTCTACTATACATGATTATCTATACTTTCACCAACTTATAGGTTTTAATATCATTCATAAAGTCGTATGCACCTTCGGGGTCAAGTATTCGTTTCACAGTTTAACAATGTAATCACTATACTTTTCACTAAGTTGTGATGAATTTATTTTTGTATATGTATATTCACATACATTAATGAGTTGTGGTATATGTGTACGTGTATGTGTGTAAGTATATGTGTTTGT